AAAAAAAAAAGGTTGAGAAGTTAGAGGGTTGATATGTTGTGGGGTTGTTAACCAATGTCATAAAACAACTTGTGTACTACTGTCTCATGAGAAACTATTTGTTCGTAAGCCTTCACCTGATGTACAATAAAAAAATCAATTAATTAAAAAATCAGACTATGGGACACAGTTCTCCTCTGCCACACGTGGGCTACCCATGAATCAGAATCAACTTGACGGCAGTTAGAACCAGATAAGGGAGTGAGTTTTTAAAAGGATTTTGAAAGTTGGGGTTTCCCTCAGAACTGCAGATATTTTCAAAGAAGACCATTCCAACTGCTGGAATATCCAATATTGTCCAATACCCTAAATTTCACATAAGATTTTAGGCAATGCTGAACATTCGACACAAATAATATTTTCTTTTTTAATAGTAACACATCTACCATCTAAAACTATCTTGAATGGCGCTAATATTGCAAATAATTCACTTAAGGGGGTGTAACAGACCAAAAAAGAGGATTGGCTTTATGATGTCAGTAACACTGAGCTTAATATAAAAAAGTTCATTAAGAATCCAATTGAAATGAGCCTAAAACATGGTGAGGGATTTATATGTTTAACATATGAATGTTAGTATTTATTTTACCTCATAGTGAAATAGCAAATTCACTTAAGTTGTTTTTTATGAAATTTATTTAATTAGAAATAAATAAAATGCATGTGTTTTCCATGAGTGGAGTAAATATTAGTTTTAAAGTGTGCAAGAAAAATAACAGCATGTATTTTATTTTTGCAGCAAATAACCTGGTTATGTTCATTACAAGGAGCTGTCGTGGAGCCCTGGTTAAGCGCTTGGTTGTTAAGCAAAAGGTTGGTTGTTCGAAACCACGAGCCACTCTATGGGAGAAAAATGTGTCAGTCAGCTTCCCTAAAAGATTTACAGTCTTGGAAACCCTATGGGGCAATTCCACCCTGTTCTTCCAGGGTTGCTATGAGTCAGAATCGACTCAACGGCCATGGGTTTGGTTTTTTTTGGTATGTTCATTACAGCATCCTTTGAATGAATAAGTCCAAGTTGCAGGTACACTAACCCTTTACTGTTATGGGTTAAAATACAAAATCAGGATGTTCTTCAATAAAATTTTGACTTAATAACCGTGATTAATGAAACAATAATATCTTCACAGTTCTTCAGGAAAAGATTCACTATGTTTTGTACTTACCTACAATATCAGTCATAAGACCTGTAATACTCTCATCTCCTGTAATCCAAGGACGTTTCCCTACTTCATGACCGTAGGCTCCCCTGAAATTGAAAAGGGACATAAATATCCCTTAGCTTTCTTGACGTTAGTTCTTCAAATATCAGCATTAGCAACTAGCACATTTCCGAGTTGGCTTTTGGAATGTTTTAGTAATTACATGAAAGCATGCTATTTTAAAACCAAAATGTAATACTTGGAATCTTTTTAAACTTGTATTTATTATTATAACAAATTATGGATAACATTGCAAAGAATGGGAATTCCAGAACACTTAATTGTGCTCATGAGGAACCTGTACATAGATCAAGAGGCAGTCGTTCATACAGAACAAGGGGATACTACGTAGTTTAAAATAGGGAAAGCTGTGCCTCCGGGTTGCATTCTTTCACCATGCTTATTCAATCTGTATGCTGAGCAAATTATCCAAGAAGCTGGACTATATGAAGAACGGGGCATCAGGATTGGAGGAAGACTCATTAACAACCTGTGTTGTGCAGATGACACAACCTTGCTTGCTGAAAGTGAAGTGGACTTGAAGCACTTACCGATGGAGATCAAAGACCACAGCCTGCAGTATGGGTTACACCTCAACATAAAGAGAAGAACAATCCACACAACTGTACCAATAAGTAATATCACAATAAACAGAGAAAAGATTGAAGTTGTCAAGGATTTCATTTTACTTGGATCCACAATCAACGTTCATGGAAACAGCAGTCAAGAAATTGAATGACACGTTGCACTGGGCAAATCTGCTCTAAAAGACCTCTTTAAAGTGTTAAGAAGCAAAGATGTCACTTTGAGGACTAAGGTGCACCTGACCCAAGCCATGGTGTTTTTAATCACCTCATACACATTCGAAAGCTGGACAAAGAATAAGAGAAGAATTGATGCTTTTGAATTATGGTGTTGGTGAAGAATATTCAATATACCATGGACAAAAGAATGAACAAATCTGTCTTAGAAGAAGTACAGCCGGAATGGTCCTTAGAAGAGAGGAAGGCAGGACTTCATCTCACATACTTTGGACATGTTATCAGGAGAGATCAGTCCCTGGAGAAGGACATCATGCTTGGCTAACTAGAGGGTCAGTGATAAAGAGGAAGACCCTCAATGAGATGGATTGACACAGTGGTTGCAACAGTTGGCTCAAGCATAGCAAGAATTGTGAGGATGGCACAGGAGCGGGCAGAGTTTCGTTCTGTTGTACGTAGGGTCACTACAAGTCAAAACTCACTCGAGTGGGTACCTCATACCACCAAGAAAGCAGTGCCAGGAGCAGAGCATGTCCTTTGGACCCGGGATACCCATGCAGAGAAGCTCCTAGTGCAGGGGAACATTGATGAGAAGGCCAACAGAGAGAAAGCCTTCCCCTGAAACTGATGCCCTGAATTTGGACTTGTAACCTGCCAGACTGTGAGAGAATAGATTCCTCTTTGTGAAAGCCAAAAAAAACACAAAAAACAAAAAACAAAAAACCCACTCAATGGCACCTAATAACAACAACATTATTTTTATTACCTTGATTTCCTTTTTGTCAGGGGCGGAAGGGATTACCATACACTATTTCCTTATTTTTCTAAATTTTAGAGCCTAACATGTTATTTTTTCTCTTTTATTTTGATAAGTTCAAGACTATTTGAACACTCCACTTACATACAGGTAACATATAGCAGTGGCGGTGATAGCCAAGGCAGCCAGGAGCTGCTTACTGCTGTCCATTAGCAAACAAAACCTTAGGTGATGGTGATGGGTGTGCCTCAACTAGGAGCTGCTCAGACCAAGGGAAACCTGCTCCTTCCTGTCCATTGTCCTCAAAGCACTAGGTATGGCTGAAGCCAGTCAAACCCTGTTTACTAGCTTACATGCCACAGAAAAACTACAATTTGTCTTACTGCACCCACACTCCATGATAACCCATGTAGTCCATAATGTTTGCATGCACTTCCTTAGGAGAGACAGTATACAAGGTTCTGCCTCCCTTGTTCAGGGAGCTTGATTTGAGGTATACACCTCCTTGTTCCTTGCCTGTGCGCTTGCAATAAATGCTCTTCCTCCCTCCTCACCTCTGTGTGTCTTTATTGAGGAGAAGCTGCACTGAGAAGAACCTGCTTTAGGTAACAGTGGTACTAAAACATACAGAATGTTTTTTTAGGCTACAGACTGAAATTGCGTTTTAAATTATAGTTACGATCTGTGCATTATAGAAGTGCATAAAATACGACTATAATCATGATGTCATTTTAGGTAGATAATGGAACTTGGCACCAGCCAAAGTCAACACTACTCCTTGACCAATTTTCTAGCAATTCCATCTATCATATTCCAGCTCACTTTTTTTTATTCTAGCAAGTATCACAGTAGGCATTATGGAAAAACACAAGATATATAAAACAGGACTTCATCCCTCAAGAAATTTCCACCAAATAAAGAAGGTATATAAATGTGAAAAATGTATAAGACAAAGTTAAAACAAGGGATCAAGGTGAAGTGCCTTCAGGTGCTACTCATTAGGTGCTTGTATCTTATATAGCTCTCAATTTGATTGTTATTAACTCTTTAGGAATCCAAAGAGTCTGCAGACTTGGAAGTAATGAATGGTTTTGTGTTTTGTATATCCTGGTGGGTTTGAATCCGGGCTCTGAAGTTCAGTAAGCTGGCAGTAGTGAGCTAGGAAGTCAGTTCTCAAAGGCATGTGTATGTGTGTGTATGGGTTGGGGATTGGAGCCCTGTCTTTTAGCCTTTGCTGATTTTAATGGTGTAAATATTACCATTGTGACCAATTTCAAACTGCCAACAAAAGTCCTGAATATTTAACAATTGGCTCTTGCGACCTGGTATATGCTAGTTCAGGTCATGATAGGTTGTGAAACTCCATTTATTAGAAGCTACTGGTCCTAATTTTCCACATCTGTAAAAGTAAATCGTGACAACAATATGTACCTTAAAGGGTTTCTGTAAAAAGTAAATGATAACACATGTAACAAAAATTGGTACATAGTAGAGGTTCAAGAAATATGTTTCTTTCCCCCTTTTCTGAGTTTTCATTCGTAATGTAAATCTCATGTGAAGACTCCCTCCATCCACATGTGGTATAGAACACAATTTTAAAACTAATATTTTGACTATCATATAAACTGAGATGAAGGAAGAGGACTTTTTTTTGAGAATAAACGTATACTGTATCTTCAAGAACTAAAGAGGGACAGAAGGGCAATTGTTAGTCATTATTATTCATATTATTATTAGATAGCCCGCAGCTTGCCTCTTTCTTGACTTCCAATACAAATGCTAAACACAAAAATCATCATTATTAAACAGTAGTTAACAGCAGATACTTGGATCCTTTTTTATTTTAATCACATAGAGCTCCATGGCCTTTGCTGATAGCACAATGCATCTTATTACTTTTAGGTAGTAAAATTCTATGTTCTGCCTCAGAGAATTTATATCTCAGAATATTATGCTACCTACTCCTTACTCTGGTAGACACAGCAGTAATAATCTTTAAGGATTCCTTTCTTCCTGCAATGCTTTTGGCATCTCCCTCCCTTTAAAATATCACACAGAGTCCGCTTCCTTATTTTGTCAGCCTGCTAGCCCAGAGTAGTGAAATGTATTTAGAAGTGTTATCCAAATAAACCCAAAGTAAAATAGCCTGTCATTAGAGAGAACTGCTGTAGATTACAGTGCAGTTAGAAACATATGTATTAGAATTAAGGAAAATATTATATTGCTTTTATTCAAAACTACTTAAAATAGTTGCACATAGCTACCATCTCCTTTTACAAATACTGGAGAGGAAAAGAGAACATAAGAGACAGTAAACTCATTATCATGCATTAAAGAGGAAAATTAATAACACACATCTTGCTTTGATTTTAGAGTTTTTCTTACCCATGAAACCAAATACTAACTGTAAAATTTTCCTGATCAAATTCTGCCTGGGCTTTTTCACTCAAAGTTGCTAATCTTTTCCTTCCTGTTTGAAGCCAGGTTTACTTAATTCAAATTTCAAGCTACATGGCTGCAGGTGGGTGGAGGGCTGGAGAACTCCTTGTGACCAGATATCAATTGCTCTCTGGAAAAGGAGCAGGCAGGGTTCAATCAGTCATGTCAAGATTAGCCAATGGTTGATCTTCTTTTCTTCTCCCTCCTCTTCTCTTTGTAAGCCTCATTGTAACTAGGTTACTTCCAGCCATTTGCTTTTTCTTTTTTTTTTTTGTAATCGGAAGGTCTCTCTATACGCATATAGAATAACTGCTCAGAATAAACCTTGTATCTATTTCTTTGAGTTTTGATTATTTTTAACAAATGGCATAAATCACTGCCATGAGTGGGATGTTTTCTGAGTTGTCTATGGAGCAGTATTTGCTCACAAAATTAGATTTCAGGATATAAAATCTGATTAAGAAGTTAATAGAAACTTGGATCCTCTTTGAGATAGGATGATACTTTAACTGTTCTACAAAATGAAAAGTGGCCCTGCTTTTAAAGTGCTCCCTTTACCCTACCAAATAAGCTAATAAATCCGATTTCCTGGCCTTCCCTTGGTGATAACACAACTTTTTTTTTTTTTTTTGGTGACCCCATTGATAGCCAGCACAGCTGTCAGGAAAATCACCATCACACATTGTACCAGGTACTTTTTTATTTGTACACTTTCTTTTTTTATTTTTATTTTGTTATGACAGAAATGCCTAAAATGAATAAGACTGCAAAATCTGAGGAGACTCTTCTCCCATGCTTCACTCGTGGACTTTCCACACACACACACTGTCGGGTAAAACGAATCATGGTCTGTGAACCAGGCAGCTTGTTTCTAATATGTAATTCAATGGACTGTTTTCCTCTTTAAACAATCCTACCAAAAATATCACAGTTCTTAGAGGAAGCACTATAAAGACATGACCATAGCTGCTCTTATGAAATGGAAAGAATAGTATTTCTCTGGCAAATTTGGCAATGTAAGTGATCTAAAATATTGTGTGGTTCTATCTTAGGCACGTAATACCATTTGTAAACTTACATTGTGTTCTTT